AACGAACCTCAAGAAAACACTAAAAGAGTTGTTGGAACTTAATAAGTTTTGGTTTAACTCTCTATACAATACTTCAAAGAATAAATTTTGCGTTTACAAATACTTCATGATATGGTTCATATGCAAATTACAATTATTATTATTTTTGTAACCTAAGCACTTTTGGCAAAAGTTAACAACTTATATTGACATAGGAAATGCATAGAAACGAATGCTATGCACCATGCACACGATACTAATTTTGTTTACTTTTATTTATTATTTTTAATAATAACATGTTTATATTCTGCTTGTGATTAAAGTGGTCATTTTTTAATGAAGTTAGAATTTTTTTTTTATAATTATTTAAAATTCATTAATAATAGTTTTTAGTTTTTAGTTTTGGAGTGCTCTTGCTTGAGATTCTAAGTGGGAGAAAGAACACTAGCTTTCAAATAACAAATTGTGCGCTAAGCCTTGTAGCACATGTAAGGTCTAGTAGCTTAAACAATTAAATGGTCGTCACAAATTGGGTTTTCAATTAAACATTAATCAACCTCCTAATATATTTTATATATGGTACAGGCGTGGAAGTTATGGATCCATGTTTGAGATCAGATTGTCATCCAAACGAAGTTTTGAGATACATCTAAATTGGGTTATTGTGCGTTCAAGAAGACGCATTATTAGGGCCTCATCAGTTGTTCTAATGCTAAAAAGCGAAGTTCAGAGTCTTTCTCAACCTGAACGACATGCCTTTATTACTAGTCGATACACTAGCCACCAAGAAATAATAGCTGTTAATAGTTATTTTGTCAACAAGATTACAGTTTCTGATTTTCTCCCAAGATGAGCACCGAGACAAGAAATTATATTCTCATGACTACTCTTTTGCTTAGATTAAAACTAACGTTGGCACTTTGAAAAATATTTTTTTGTATTGAAAAATATTTTTTTGTATACAAAGCAGAGGGGAGGTAATTTTGTTTTCGTTTTTTTTTTTTTTTTTTTTTTTTTGATTTGTAAAATAAGGAATACTTTTTTCTCTTCCAACACTGTAAGGTGAAAATCTTCATTTGGCTAAAATATTGGGGATGTTTTTGTAATTATGACACTAAAAAATTAATAAACATTTTTGTAATGTTAGCCAACAAGTGCAAAAGAGAGGCTCTGATTTGTAAAACGAGGGCGTATTTTATCTTCCAAAATATAAGGTGAAACCCGCATTTCACAAAAAAAAAAAATAATAATTGGGGATATTAATGATTATGGCACTAAAAAATTGTTAAACATTACGGTTAAGGTTACCTCAGTTTACTCGCACCACGCTACTGAAAATACTTAATCACATATGGAGTTCGATTCTGTTCAACAAAATACTGTTTTCTTTGTAAAAAAGAAAATTACAAAAAAACCTAGGGTGTGTTCGGCAACCTAAAAAAAAGGCAACTCAATTTTCAACTTTATTCAAGTTCATATCCTTTTAAGTTTGAATTCGAGTTTGAGACTAAAACTCGAGTTCAAATTTTCCCTTCAACTCGAGTTCAGAAACTCGAACTCAAATTAATGAACAATAATTTTTCTATTCTTAAAAATGCTATAACTTTTTCATTTTAATACTGATTGAGATGATTTTTTTTCTATGCGTTGACAACGAAAAGACGAATAAAATCTCACTTATATACCCTATTGAAATTTTTCATCACCATTGAGTTTTTATTAAAATACTATCTAAATACAAATTCAAGTTTTGACTCATTCAAACACAAACTCAAAAAGATTCTTATCTTAAACTATAACTCAAATGTACACAACCAAACACAAACTCAAATTACAATTTCAATTCAAGTTATAACTCAAATTCAACTAAAAAACTACACTCAAGTCACATTCCAAAAGAACAAGCCCCTAGTCACTTATGTAGAGCGTGAAGTAATTTTGATTAAAAAAAGGGGTTTTAGCACAATTATCCTTTGAACTTATCGTGCTTTAGTAAATTGCCCCTCAAACTTTTAATTTTGATAATTAACCTTCCAAACTTGTAAAATTGTTGCATTGTACCCCATTTTACTAAATTTGCTCAAATTTTTTTATTAGATTTGAGGGATTAAAGGTTGAAAAATTGAAAGATTTGTGTTACATTTGAACTGGGATGTTGAAATTTTTGCGTTAAACATGCTTTTTCGACACAAATTCAACACAATCATCGTCAAAATAGAATATATTGCCGGGGGGGCAATTTGTCTAAATTAAAGATTGAGGGGGCAATTTGCTAAACTACAATAAATTTAAGGGCCAAATGTGTTAAAACCCAAAAAAAAAAAATCCAGGGTGAAGATGAGAACACCAAAACTCTTTTACCCCAATCTCTAAGAAAGATGCAAATAACATTTTTTGAAATATTTTTAAGTAAATAAGAGGTTTTATAGTATTTGAAGTAAATAATTTATTTACTGGTTAATAATTTATTTTTTTTAAAGCGATAAATAATTTTTTACTGAGGATAAAAATTCGTAAGTGTGCTATTTATTTCAAAATATTTTAAAACATTCTATTTTCTTCAACAAGTTTTTAAAAAAATTATTAGCTCTAATTTCTGAAAATACGAACCACAAATTATCTTTAATTCCCAAAAACCTCATTAACCATAATTGGGCGAAAAAAAGAAAAGAAAAGAAAAGGAAAAGGTGGACTAAAAATGAAGAAAAAATAACACTGGTAAATGATTGATGACAAATGGCTTTTTATGATTAGAAGGACAAAGATCGGGACAATATTTAATTTTTAAAATATGTTCTATAGCCTCATGGAGTTATATTCCCGCCTTCTTACAAATGAAGAATTATTCAGTAAACCGAGTATACCACATCATTATATTTGCGTGGTACACCCGTCTAATAAAAAGTTAACACGTGTGTGTTTTTTCTATGTCATTGTTATGTAATTAAGTTTCTCTTTTTTAGTGTGTTTTACCTTTATTATTTAGTTGAAATCCTCATAAGTACTCTATCTATAATTTTTAAATTAATTAACTTTGATTAACACTATTTTTAGTCCTTTATGAAATTATTTTACACATTTAGATTAGTTAGAAAATTTAAACAATTACTAGTGCTGTGAATTCTCCCGTCATTAACATTTTTTATACATGGCAGGTCAAACTAGTTTTCTAGTAAGAAAAGTTCAAGAAAATAATGTCTTTGTGTATTGATTATATTTGGGTTAATCGCATCAAGAAAAAAATAATTCTGAAACATTTACAATTGGTTATTTATATGTATATACACATATGTACATATATATTATCAGTAAGGCATTTCATTATTTATTATTTGCACTCCTACAAAATTTTTTGTATATAATGTGGTAAAAAGAATGTCAATTACAAAAAGAAAACGGCTTCATGAAAGAGAATAATATTAATGGGAGATTATATAGTGGAGAACTTGTTCGTAATATGTTTTTACCATGCCGTATTATATAAAATCTAATTATTAGTAAGCTCAAAAAATGTGATCGTTTAACAAAAAAAAAAAAAAAAATCTATAACAGGTAAATTTTGTAAAGTAAATTAATATTAAGAAATTTGATTAGTAAAAAAAAAGGAGAGATTTAAGTGTAGTATTTAAGGTGGTCTTGATTAAACAATAAATATAAAGCACAGGAGGAAATAGAAACTTAATTATATAAAAAAAATGCGTCTATTGATACTCTATTTTTTACTTTCACACACATTTTAAAACCACCTCCTATTCTACTTGTTACACCTCTCTTAAAATTTCAAAAAACTCTTACAATTAAATAACTCCTAATTCTACTTTTTATAGACACATTCTTAAATCATCCCTCATTCTACTTATTACGCCTCTTAAAATTTAAAAAAAAAAAGTATTTTCTTCTTTTTTTTATATCCTCCCATCAATTAAACTTATCATTTTCTTTCTTTTTTTTTTCATATATATGAAATTGAAGTGTTTTTTTTTTTTTTTGGGAAGAGAATATGATTTATAAAAGCATTAACAATCCCCAACGACAAAATTGAAGCATTGAAGCATAATGTTATACAATTACATGGAGTCTTCTGCACTTTCTCGTATTATCGTCCCTATTAAAATAAAAAACTACTGAATATGCCGACTAGAGTAGGAGTCGTCTGTAACCACAAAAAAAAAAAAAAGAAAAAAAAAAAGAACTTTCCAATTTCCACATTCAACCACAGTGAGTCCATGCCGGCGGCTCTTTCACGAATCTTTCTCTTCAAATTTTTTCACGAATCATGAATATTTTAGAACTAATTATATAATTAACCATCAAAAATTGAATTGAGAAAATAAGAGCTTTTAAGAAAAAATTTAAACCACGTACCTTTTTGTGGGGAAGTTCTTTCACGTTGGAATTCATCCCTATTCTTCTGAAAAATTAAGGTACAGTAAATTTGAGATGACAATATATTTTTTTAATGATGAGGTGTGTAATGGTATTTTTAAAAAATATTATTGTCCTTAAAAGTAATTGTATTAATGGGTATTCGTTTAGTTCATAGATTAAAATCATTTTCGATTTACGTGTATTTTTTTTTTAGAAAAAATACTGTAACGAATCATGAACCATGATTTGAATCGGGAACAACTCTCAAGTCACATTAAAAGGAGTGTGTGAAAAGTAAAAAAAAAAAGTGTCCGCACCTTACATAAAATGACAAAAGACTTTTTATTAAATGAGCGTACCATGTAAGTATAATGACATAATACACTTAGTTTTCTGAATAATTCATCTTTATAAAGAGTGAGCCTTGTCTGTGGGACTCAATTGAGACCGGTAGGTAGGGCCTATCCTTTGTGGGAGGGTGGTAATCTAATCCTATAGGAACAAATAGGATTGTTCTTAATTTTTAGATAATGATCATGTCACCTTTGTAGGGTCTTTAGGACGAGGTCCGCACAACTTAGTAGTTGAATCCGTCAAAATAAAAAATTATATCGTAGTCAGCTAAACTTCAAACAATAATATATTGTCACGAGTAAAGAGAGGAGCCATATCCAATGAGTCGAAAAAAGAACTGAAGATGAAAATGTTCTCCTTCAAATTTTTTTCAGCATTTATGAAAATAATCCTTGTTGTGATTACGATCAGCTTAGTAACCATCGACACTATTGCCAGTGAAGCAGCCGCACTGCCAACTTATCTCTCTCACGCCTGTGAAAACTCCACAACTTTCACTTCTAACAGTACCTATGCATACAACCTCAACGTCCTCCTCTATAAACTTGACGCCTGCGCCTCCAACGACAGTGACTTCAGCTATGTACCCGACACGAGCAAACCTTCCGACCCTGTTTTCGGCCTATTTCTCTGCCGTGGAGACGTCACCAGCCTCATCTGTCAAGATTGCGTCGTCAACGCTTACATAGAGATACAAAGACTGTGCCCGGTCGAGAAAGACGCCGTAATCTGGTACGAGGAGTGCTTATTGCGCTATTCCGACCAGCCCATCTATGCAATCTCTGAGACAAACCCAGTGAAGTCCATTCTCGGCTCCAGAACTGCTAGTACTAATAATGTTATGGATGACAATCAGTTGCTATTGCTGGACAACATGGTTAACACGCTAGCCGTTAAAGCGGCGAATATTTCTGATGAGCAGACCAAGAAGTTTGCTACCGGTGAGCAGAATTTCACCGGCTCCGAGACTGTGTACGGATTAGCGCAGTGTACTCCGGACTTGTCGGTAGCAGGTTGTAGTACGTGTTTACGGTCAGCCATAAAGGAGATTCAGACATGCTGCAACGGGCAACGGAGCGCAAGGATTCTTCTGCCAAGCTGTTTTATCATGTATGATTTATACATGTTTTTCAACGATACAGCATTGGAGACTCCTACTCCTCCACCTCCTCCACCAGGTACCACGAATTCGATTAGTATTAATCCTTATCACGAAATTACTACAGCACTTTTATCACTCTTGAACGACCTAAATTGGATTTTTAAGTACCATGCACGTTTAACTTGTAGAATTAGAGTATCCTAAGCAATTACTCCTAAGCTAATGATTATTGGATCAAACGCCGTGATATAAAAGGTGAGATAAGGCCTGAGTTTGGAAGAGCGCGAGTTTGATATTCTTGCATTCTTTTTTTTCCCCCTTAACGAAATTAAACTTTCCGCTGTCTATTGAAGACAACTAATTTGCCTGAAATTTTGATTCTCTATTTGAATGTTCCTATGAAATGAATGAAACGAAAGAGATATACAGTCGGCCAAAAAGCAAATTTGACTTTTGTTAATTTATGATAGAGCTTCGAAACTTAGGACTTGTTCTTTTGATGTTTTTGAGTTAGGTAACTTGAGTGTAAATTTTGAGTTGAGTTTGAGTTATAACTTGAGTTGAAGTTGTAACTTGAGTTTGTGTTTGGTTGTGTACATTTGAGTTATGGTTTGAGATAAGAATCTTTTTTGAGTTTGTGTTTAAGTAAGCCAAAACTTAAATTTATTTTTAGATAGTATTTTAATAAAAACTCAAAGCTGATGAAAAATTTTAATAGGGTATATGGGTCCAGTTTTTTTCGTCTTTTCATTGTCAACGTATAGAAAAAAAAATCATCTCAATCAAAATTAAAACGAAAAAATTATAGCATTTTTAAGAATAGAAAAAATACTGTTCATTAACTTGAGTTTGAGTTTCTGAACTCGAGTTGAAGGGGAAACTTGAACTCGAGTTTTAGTTCTAAACTCGAGTTCAAACTTAAAAGAACATGAACTCAAATAAAATTGTAACTCGAGTTACATTTTTTTTGAGTTTTTCACTCAAAAATTAACTCCCCGAACTGCCCCAACTGCATGCTTATGACTCTTCCCAGTCTGACTAGATGACTTTTCCAACTGCTTAATCTACAGAAGGGCTGAGATGATCTTTCCTCTTCCTTTCCTTACGTTTCTGCAACTATAGAGTCCCGTTCATTCAGAACACTTGAAATTTCTATCAACATATTGTTATTGACTTTGATATCGCTTGCTAGTAATTTCTCCTTTCTTGTCTAGTCTTTGTCACATATGCATACAAAATGTACGTCCAAGGGCTCAAAAATTATTAGGGGGTTATTCTTTTGCAACGAAACTCATAAAAAATTTAAACTCGAATTATAACTTTATTTAAGTTTATTTTTTTTTGTAAAATTTGAATTTGAACTCGAGTTTGGGGCTAAACTCGAATTCAAGTTTCCATTTCAACACGAGTTCATAAACTCAAACTCAAGTTAATCAACAATATTTTTTTTATTCTTAAAAATGCCATAACTTTTTCGTTTTAATTCTTATTGAGATTATTTTTTTTCTATGCATTCACAATGAAAAGATGAATAAAACCCCACTCATATACCCTATTAAAATTTTTCATCACTATTGAGTTTTTATTAAAATACTATCTAAATACAAATTTAAGTTTTGACCCACCCAAACACAAACTAAAAAAGATTCTCAATTCAAATCATAACTCAAATATGCACATCCAAACACAAATTCAAGTTACAACTTCAATTCAAGTTATAACTCAAACTCAACTCAAAATCATCACTCAAGTCACTCTAACTCAAAAATGTAAAAGAACAACCCCTAGGTGTTACTCAATTTAACACAATGAGATCCAATTACGAGATTTTTTTTCCCTTTATTAATGATAGGAAGTTCCTAGTGGGGTTTCCCCCTATTTTATGTCTGAGCTTGTTGATGAACTGAAATTTGTCATTTTTAATGAAATCCCTTTTTCAGATAAAAGGGAAAAATAGAAATAAATTAATTGAATATGCAGAGTATCATCTTTCTTTCTTGCTTTCTTTCTTTCTTTCTTTCTTTCTTGGGATATTTAGGATTTTATATCCTGCATTTTGAGTTTACAAGAAAAAGTAACCTTGTATTTTGGATGCTTTAGAAACTACACCTATTACCACCAAATTTCAAATCTTCAAATTTGTATCTTTTCTCAGTCAATAGGTGATTTTGACTACATGGATGAGTTTGACTTTTTAATTAATTTATAGATAACACATAATAAAACTGTTATAAGGTCTGTTTTTATACATGTATTATAAGGAGTGTTATAATATTTTTTGTAACACTGGTCATTAATAGAAATTTCTGGATTCAACAACAAATAACTAAACGTGCAAAAAAATAATGCAGAAACATAAACAACATCAGGAATTTGTATCAAAGTTTGGTGCGCACACCCACATTCACGGGGCCGCGCTCAGGCAGTGAACAATCTACTAAAATCAAAAGATTACAAAACACCAAACGGTCTTACACACTCAAAGACTCCCTCCTTGACAATATTGCCATTGTGTAAAATCTTCTTAGAGACATTGTCCAGCGAGCCCCACTCATCTTTGAAAGCTTTCTCCCTAAAATAATACATCTTCCTCCTGAAGAACAAACTTTTAGCTATCGCCTCTTAAAAGCACCTAACACAGACTTTTTCTGCAGATTGTTTCTCTCAAAACTCATACACGTTCATAGCAGATTTTCAGAATAATGCACACCACAAAAAGAGGTCCACAGCTCAATTTTTCTCCCCACCATAACTACCCTCAAAAAAGCAAATTCTCCCAAGGATTCTTTCCATACACAGAGCCAATCAATTAACCAACAAATTCAACCATATCAGCTAAAATCACACGGCAATCAACTATCTGAAAATGCCTTCCCAAAAGCTACTTACCTTCTATAGAAGAAATCATTCCAAATCTGGTACAAATAACTAAAAATAGAATTTTCATAGCTGTCCAGAACACCAATAACAATTGTACCTGTTTTTTGAATTTATACAACCTTTTGCCAACTAACAAACGACCTAATAGAAACCATAATTGAAAATTTTCCATTTGCATATTAGCTTGAAAATACAAATTTTATGATTTTTTATTTGTTTACTAAACAATGGGCATGATTCATTTTTGGATGCAAGACCATCTATAAGCTACAATGGTTGAAATTGTAAATTTAAGGGTCAAAATAAACCGTTATCCAGAGAAGGTACAAAATTGATACAAAATTAAAATTCAAACAGTACAATCTTGTGAACATTTAAAACATAAAGCAATTTTTTTTTCCATATAAATTAAAAGTGCAGGGTATAAAATAGAAAACAACTTTTTTTCCCTGGGCAAGGATCGGCACAGAGAAGTCGCTATATAGCCTATGTCTTAACAAATTATATTTCGAGCCTGAAATTTAATGTCCACTATAGTTACAACTGCTATATGCTACCCTCACATCACATCCTCGTATTGCTAAAAAATTACTTGCATTTAATCAACTAAAAAATGTGTTAAGTAAAAAGGCTAATTGTCTGAAATTGTGGGCTAGTCTAACTCTTAATTCTTTGAACTTTACAGTAGATTCCTCTGTTTAAACTTGGAATAATTCTAGCTGATATTTGAATTTTCAGCAGTGTGTAAAGATCAATGTCCGCATTTGACCACGTTACCATGATGTTTGAAGACACTAACTATGCCTTTCAAGTGTGATATGTTCTAAAATTTTCATTTTTGTAATGTTGTTTCTTTTTCCTTTCTTTTGAATAAAAAACTAGAATCGCCTTTTCCGTATCATATGAAGCATATATAAATTCTAGCTATTTCTGTACGCAGGAAAGAAAAAAATTTCGTCAGTAGCCATTGTTGCTATTGTGGTTCCACTTGGTGTTACTGCCTTGGTTGTTGTTACCGCGGGTGGCTATTTCATTCGCAGAAGAGCAAGAAAAAAATATAATGCTCTAATTACTCAAGAAACTGGTAAAATTCTTAAAAGAAAAATAGTTTGTAATGAAACCAAATTTTCTTTCGTCATTTTAATATGTTGATCGGTATGTGGAATCTTTTCCCAAATCTCGTTTTTTCGGCTTGAATTGCAGCTGCCAATGATATCACTATGAAAGACTCCTTGCAGTTTGATTTTAAAAGTATCGAAACTGCCACAACCAAGTTTTCTGATTATAACATGTTAGGTAAAGGCGGATTTGGTGAAGTTTATAAGGTACATATCATAAGATGTTGCTTTCATTCACACACACACAGAGCAAAATGGGCTATTGGCACTGTTAATTCATGTGTTTATTACATAATATATAACTTGAAAATTTATAGAAATAGTAATATTATGTGCAAAATGTCCTCTTCACTACTGTTACAACTCATCATTGAATAATGTTATAACATTTTGTAATTAATTTAACTATTTAAGTAAAATTTTCAACTATATTCGGTAGCTTTGTGAATTATCTATATTATATTTCAGAAATCCGTTCTCAAAATTTAGTGGTACAGAGACCAAAACTATTCAAAATAAAAATTTAGGAAGTAGCCTGCTAAAATCAAAAATTCAAAAACCAAAATATCACGATATTCAAAGTTGAAGGACCAATAGTGTCAATAATCAAAATTAAGCTAATTAAGTAATTATGATTATATATGTATACATTTTTAGGGAACGCTTCCAAATGGACGAGAAATAGCTGTCAAAAGGTTATCCAAGAGCTCTGGACAAGGTGCATTGGAGTTTAAGAATGAGGTTGTGTTAGTAGCAAAGCTTCAACACAGAAATCTCGTAAGGCTTTTGGGATTTTGCTTGGATGGAGATGAAAGGATACTTGTCTATGAATACGTGCCCAACAAAAGCCGTGATTATTTTTTGTTCGGTTTGTGCATATCTAAACACGTCTTTGATTAAATGAGGAGAAGAACAATGTTCGATCTTCCAATCGCATGATATTGCTACATATCTTTTTAATGGAGAATGAAATAGATATGTATGCAATAAACCTATGCTCTTTGTTGTTATATCATGCTTCTTACATATGTTCTCTCTGCCTGATATGCAGATCCAAAAAAACAAGGTCAATTGAATTGGTCGGCAAGATGCAACATAATTGAAGGAATTGCTCGAGGAATTCTATATTTGCATGAGGATTCTCGGCTAAAAATCATACACCGTGATCTCAAAGCAAGCAATATCTTGCTAGATAAGAGAATGAATCCGAAAGTATCAGATTTCGGCATGGCCAAGATGTTTGGAGTAGACCAAACTCAAGGAAACACTAGAAGAATTGTTGGAACTTAGTAAGTTTTGAACTTTCAAACTGCTTATAATAATGTGCTTCAAAATAGTTTCAATTCTTATCTAATATGTATCTATGTCTTATCATCTTTTGTGTTTTTCTTATGCGAGAAAAGTGGTTACATGGCCCCAGAATATGCTATGGAAGGATTGTATTCCATAAAGTCTGATGTTTTTAGTTTTGGAGTGCTCTTGCTTGAGATTCTAAGTGGGAGGAGGAACACTAGCTTTCACATAACAGATTGTGCGCTTAGCCTGGTAGCATATGTAAGATTTAGTGGCTTAAACAAATATGGACGTCACAAATTGGTTTTTCAATTAAATAGTAATCAATCTCATTATATATTTTATATATGGTGCCTGATCATCATACAGGCATGGCAATTATGGAATGAAGGGAAAGCATTGGACTTAGTGGATCCATGTTTGGGAGACTCATGTCATCCAAACGAAGTTTTGAGATGCATCCAAATTGGGTTATTGTGCGTTCAAGAAGACGCATTATTAAGGCCTACCATGTCATCAGTTGTTCTAATGCTAAAAAGCGAAACTCAGAGTCTTTCTCAACCTGAACGACCTGCCTTTATTACTAGTCGATACACCAGCCACCAAGAAATAATCGTTGTTAATAGTTGTTCTGTCAATGAGATTACAGTTTCTGATTTTCTACCCAGATGATGAGCGAGACAAGAAATTGTAGAATCATAAAACTAATGTATTGTATAATTTCCTTCAACTCAATCGTAGTTGCTTGGATTCTCGCTGCACTTTCTGTAACACCCTAAAAAATTATACGGGATTAATTAAGGTAATTAAGATTTATTAGTATGCCTAATCTGATTTAAAATATTAATTATTGTTTATTAAATGTTTCTGACGTGTAAATTTAAATAATTCTAAGGAATTTAATTACTTTCAGTATTTACATTTTTCCCCAGAAGTGTGTGTAGACACATTTTCTGGACTATCATTTAAAATATTTGGACACCTATTTTTCTTTTTCTTTTTCTTTTTCTTTTCCTTTCTTTCCTTTCCTTCCCATGCAGCCCTCTCTTCTCTCTTCCTTGCCGTTCTCACTCTCTCTCGTTCTCTCACTCTCTCCCCCGTTCAAATCTTCACCAAATCAACCAGATCTTGAACCAAGAAATGATTTAAAGAAGTTTTCAACGTCAAAAGAAGGATTTGATGTAAGATTTCTGAAAAAACCCTCTCTTGAATCTCAGATTTTGTATATTAGAAAATCTATTTTGGTTCAAAATGGATTTTAATGGATTTTGAGTAAAATCACGGTGGAAATTAAGGATTTTTGATTCTTTGGACTTGATTAGTCATTTGGAACATGGATCGGGTGATTTCCCCTTGAAATATTTCAGATTGGAACTCAAAATTGCAGGTTTTGTGCTGATTTTCTTTGGATCGGCCATGTTGGCCATCCTGCCCTGATTCCACCGGTCGACCTATGCGGTCAACTGGTTTGCACTCCATCAGGTCGACCTGTTTGGTCGTCCGAAGTGCACACCACCAGTCGACCAGTGGTGTTACACTACCCTATCACCGATCGACTGATGTACACGGGGTTTGACCCTATTTTGTTGAAAAACCATGTTTTGACCTCAATTTTTGAGGAGAACCCAAATTAGCTTCATTTGGGGACCTATAGTGAGTGGATTAGCTTCTTTAATCCATATTTTTTGATTGAAAACCCTTAGAATGATGATTTGAAACATGAAATGGTTTATGAAACCGGTAAATGAATTATGGCACACTAAAAGGAAATCAAAGGATATAATTGAGATTAAAATTGCTTTAGGAATGAGAATCATATCCTAAAGTGTTGTTTTGTATCAGTGCTAGCTGAGGACTCGGATTGAGGGGCTTGAGGAAGCGAAAGTTAGAATAGAGTAACGTTAGCCACAGGTTTGATATTTGTGAGGTAGGATTCCTTACCCTTTCTTTGTTAACATGATTTTTATATTGGCCTTGCAAATGTTTTAAAGAAAGGGCATGTTTACGAAAGAAAAGCATGTTTAAAAATAATAGCTTGATTTTAGCTATTGAAATTATAATGAACTGATTCATAAAGTTTAATGAATGATTTCTTAAGACAAGAGATCTTGCGAATCGGTAAACCGGCTGATGGCCTAGATAGAATGTGGAGACTGCATCCCTAGGGGCAGAACCCGAAACCCGGCCCGGGGGTGATAGGCTTGTACACGTGGTTGTGTAAGTAATTTATCATAGTATAAATTACATGCTGATGCCTGTAATGTGAAGATTTTCAGATATATTTCCTTTAAGAAAAAGGATATGAGGTTCTGGCTGTTGTGTTGGAACTGAATGTCTTATTTATTCATTTATTTATTTATTTACTTGCTTACTCATTTATTTATTTGTTTATAAAGTTATTTCAAAATATATCATACTGGGCCTTTCGCTCACGTTTTATTATTTTATAAATATTAACTCCTCTCAGGCGACTCTAGGAGCAGTGCGGAATAGGTGAGTAGTTGCTACCGTCCGGTTAAGTGAGGATTGTGTTCATCCTCCTGGCATACAAATATAAGAAGTGTAACTTCTGTAAACTTTGATCTTTAGATTTCTAGACTGTGGTTGATGGCTGTAATGTTATTTACATGTTCATGTATGTACAATGCTGCATATCCTGCAGGTGAAGCCCTGAGTGATGTTGAGGTTCAAGTTTAGACCTCTTCCTTTTAATGTATTTTCAAGGAAACGGAGGCTTGTTTAGGAATTTCCTTAATACTTTACTTTTGAATTTTGATTATTACTCATAATCGAGCCTCCACGTCACCGACCCCCGCCCCGGGGCATGACTGAGTGGTATCAGAGCCTTAGGTTTATAAACCACAAGATTGTACATACATGTGTGACATCAAGAATCCACTAAATAGTCTAGTTTCTTTTTAGTTAAAGGAGATGCCGCTGCGTTGTAGATTTGTTAATCAACCGGCACCACAGAATCAAGAATTCATGGATGCTGCTTTCCAAGGGATGGCCACTCGAGCTCAGAATGAGCGACTGGCCGAGGATAGGAAGCAGAGTTATTTCCGTGAATTTAGACGTGGACCTATCCCCACATTCAATAGTGAGGGAGGACCCCAGGAGGCAGAATATTGGTTCGATTCCATAGTTAAGCACCTGAACACCATGGAAGTGCCAGAGGAATATTGGGTAGAATTCACGGTGTATAAGATGGAAGGCCAAGCAAGTACTTGGTGGACATAGGTGAGGAGAAGGCTTGATGTTGCGGGAATGACCTGGGAGGAGTTTGAAGTTCTCTTCAATAAACAATACTTCCCACAGAGTTATCGGGATGAAAAGACGATGGAGTTTATGTCCTTGCAACAGGGCGATATGTCGGTGATGGAGTATAAGGCTAAATTCAATGACTTGTCCCGCTTTACGCCATCTCTGGTAGAGTCTGAGCATTTGAAATACCTTAAATTTGAAAAAGGCCTTAAGCATTCTATAAGGAGAGCATTGGTGGCTCTAAGAATTTGAAAATTTCAAGACTTGGTGGCTGCTGCTACAAGCATGGAGCAGGATAACCTGGCTTATCAGCAAAGCAAGGAAGTAGCTGGTCTTGTTTCTGCTTTTGGTGGACCTTATGCTTCAGGTGGGCCACAACATAATGGTAGAAGAAACCGCAATCAAGGACAGATTATCGGAGAAATGATTAGTGGTGGTAGCAGTTCTTTTAGAAATGACAATAGTGGTCCTTATAGACCCAAGTGCCATCATTGTGGGCAAATTGGTTACATTAAGAGAAACTGTCCTAATTAGAATCAGCCACAGACTCAATAGCCTCAAAGTGACACTTCTTATAGTCAGGGAAGGCCCCCGCAGTTCATGCCACCCTACCAGCCGCAGCTGCCAATGCCAATGCCATAGCCTCCTGTGCCAACCTACCATCCACCTCAATATCCACAGTTTCGACCTCAAGCGTCGGGACCTGTATAGATTCATCCGCCACAACAATATAGGCCAGGAATACAGAGGCCTAATATTGGTGATAAAGGGAAGGGGAAAGCGCATGGACAAGCTTCTACCCTGACGGGAGGTAGTTCTGGAGGATAGGCCAAAACACGGTGGTTGAAGGTATGATTCTAATCTCTCACTCATTAGCACATGTACTGTTTGATACTGGTACTACCCATTCGTTTATATTAAGCTCCTTTGTTCAAATTTTGAATCTGAAATCTGAGAGCTTGAAAACTCCGATGACTTTGAATTCCCCACTGGGATGTGTTGAGGTGATTAGTGTATGTAGATCGTGTGAAATCATGATTAAAGGTGAGCGATTGAGAGCTAACTTGATAATCCTTCCGATGAGTCTGTTTGACGTGGTACTCAGAATGGATTGGTTAGCAAGATACGGTGCGATTGTGTAATGACCGGAAAAAAATTTAGGTCTAATCCGGACATTCCAGTATTTGACTAAAATTCTTTCCGGAATAGTAAGTAGTAGAATTTTGATGTAATCAAAAAAATATTATGTAGAAACTTTATGTACGTGGTAAATTTCCCGAAATATGTAAAGTTATAATACAAATATTCTTACAAAGGAAATTCGTAAATATCACTTATAAATAGTGAGATATTAGTTAAAAGTTAAAAAATTTTAGCGGGTATATTTTAGTTATGAAAAATTGAAATATTTGGTATGTGACCAAATAACCAGCTAAAAAAAAGAGTAGAAATATTAGAAGTAAGGAAAATAGCAAAAGTTCCTGAAACAGAATTCTCCCGAGTCAATTTAAGCAGGAAACTGCTAAAAAAATGAGTACCGCAAGGATACACGGTATAGGAAATTCTGAATCAATTAAGATGATAATTTCAGAAAAAGAAATTGACTAATGAGATACCCAAGAGAATTGGGTTGAACATGAGAAGTTTGACCCAGGATACTCGACAGTCCAAAAAAAAGCAGGCTGAACAAAGTTATAATATACATATATATATATATTACATAAATGATAATTTCTAAGTACGTTTCTTAAGAAATATTATTATTATATTCATTTATGCCCTTAAGAACGTGAAGTGAAGGAATTAGAAGCCACCTTGTTTTATTTGCCTAAGTGTGGCCGACTAAGAAGAAAAAGAGAAAAACCAAGTTATATATATATATATATATAAGATCCTTTCCATGTACGTTAGTACGTTTTAAAAAAAAAGGTAAAAATAATTGTTACCGTGAGGTGGATTATTAAACCTCACATGCAGATGTAACACTTGGCATTGATTTACGTTTGAGCTCATCAGCTTGATGACTCACGCTTAAGTGGATAACTCACATTGTAAAATCACTTAAGTTTACTAAGGCCATTACAATTACTCACGTTATGTACTCGTGAGTGTAAGACATAATATAGAAAAGAAAGAAAACAAAAACAAAGCAGAGAGAGAGATTCGTAAAAAAAAAAAAACCAGAGAGTTGCTAGAGAGAGACAGAGAAAGGAAAAAACCTCAACTTCTAGAGGTAAGATTTTAGACTTAAAAATGAGAATTCTATGATTTCTTGAGTTAGATGAATAGTAACCCATCTCAGAAAACTTCCGTTAAAGTAAAAATCAAAACTGAGGTTTTGTAGAGCATCGTAATAGGAGTTTAACGGTGTAAGTGTTAAGACGATTGAATAAAGTTTTGGTGGATTTCTATCGAAAATCCGTGAGCCTAGATTAAGAAAGAACATATGTTTTGTTCAATTTTATGTTGGAATCTGTGTTCAGGAATGTAAATCTTGACTCCAGGTACCGAAATCAGAAGTAG